GTCCTTCTACCGTGCCACTATCGAGAGTGTGCTGGTGCACGCCATCCCTGTGTGGTACGCTGGTTGCACAACAGCTGACAAGAAGAGACTACAGAGGGTCATCAGAACTCCCTGGACTTAATTGCCAGCTCAAGATGTCTCTCCAGAGCCAGGGCAATTATAAAGGACCACCTCCATCCTAACCACCACCTCTTCAACATCCTGCCCTCTGGAAAAAGGCTCAGATCCATCAGGTGCAAAACCAACAGACTAAAGAACAGCTTCTTCCCGTGGGCTGTCAGAACTCTTAATGCAAACTAGTGTGTAAAGACTTCCCCAACACATCCACCCTGACACTGCTGTTGATCATCTATGTGCAATATCTCAGTCTTTCCATGTTCTGTGCAATTATTTTGGTCCCAGTCTGTTTCAATGTTTCCTTCACATACACCATGTATATAGTTCCACTCACATATGTATACATATACACAGTTTTTTATTTTATGCTATTGATTTAATTATTTATTTATTTTCCGCCTTCGTTGTATATTGGTTTCTCTTCTTTTTACTTTAGCACCTTTGTGATCCAGCTACCCAATTTCGCTGTGCAAGAAACTGCACAATGACAATAGAAAGTCTCTAAAAGTCTAAGATGATCTGTTAGCTGTTTGACAACTACTCTTTCAAGGATGTTTGATATAAAGGAAGGTTGGAGATTGGCCTATAATTAGCTAAGACTGCTGGGTCTAGAGATGCTTTTTGAGTAAAGGTTTAACTACAGCCAGCTTGAAGGCCTGTGGTACATAGCCGATCATTAGAGATAGGTTCAATCTTTAATATGGTCGACCTAAGAACTTAATGGCAGGTGCTGTTAGCTGCCTCCTGTTTGATCAGTTAACTGTGGCTACCAACCTTTTTTGGGCTCCGTCTGCTGTGTGTGGGTTTGTTTTCTGTGTCCTGATTGGCTGTTCTTTGACCCCGTGACAGCTCCTCTGACTCCAGCAGGTACCTGATTGGTGGGCCGACCATCGTCCTCCTCAGCCTCTGAGGCTCCTCCTTCTTCTCATCTCCCTTTCTTCTGCCCTTTTCAACCATGTGACTTATGTCTTTAACTTTAGCGTCAAGCCTGTCAATCATCTCTGAAGCCCCGCCCCCAGGCTCACAGAGGCCAACAGCATCTGATCTTTCTCTCCTTCTTGTTAGCTTGGTAACTGCCTCCTGATCAGTGTGATTGGCTGTTCCAGAATCATGTGACGTTTCCTCCAACTCTAGAAGGCATCTGATTGGTGGACTGACCATCTTTCCTGGTCTCTGAGGCTCCTCCTCTTCCTGTCTTCCTCCCGTTGAGACCATGTGACCTGTGTCTTTATCTCCAATGTCAGAACAGTCAGTCATCTTTGAAGCCCCGCCTCCAACAGAGTCTTTTGATCTTCCTCTCCTCCTTGTGTGTTTGTTAGCTGCCTTCTGATTGGTCTGATTGGCTGTTCCAGAACCCCGTGTTGTCTCCTCTGACTCCAGCAGGTACCTGATTGGTGGGCCGACCATCGTCCTCCTCGGCCTTTGAGGCTCCTCCTCCTTCTCCACACAGACTTGTTGCACCTCCCTTTCTTCTTTTTCTTCCTCCTCCGCTCTGATCCTCTTTGTCCCCCTCCTTCCATTCCCACTCCTGTTCAGGGTCCAGTAGTCGACCAACCAGCTGGGACGTGTTCTCGCACGGTTTATGCCTCTTGACCAATAAGGAGCCTTGGTGGGTGCTGTGAGGAGGGGCTTCCTGGGCCTCTGAGGCTCCTCCCTGTTGTCATCCTGGGTGGTCTGTTTTTCCCGTTTGTTTTTAGGAGCTTGGGCGTTGCTCAGGGCCGCCCCACATCCGTTTCTGTAGAGACCACCTATATTGCTGTGGTGCTGATTGCATTGGTGCAGGAACAGCCCGCTGGCACAGCTGAACTTCCTGTTGCAGAGGTGACAGCCGAAAGGTCGCTTTGCTCTGTGGACGGACGGGTGGAGGGCAGACGCCTGCAGAGGGGAAAGGTCAGACAAAGGTCAGGTGAGCGTTGGGTTAATTACAGCTAACTAAAGACAAAAGGGGCAGAAAAGTCTGGTTAAAGGTCGGGAAAGAAGAGGTTTCCATTAGGGGTGGGCTTTGATTATCAATTTATCGTTTAAAATCGATTCTAGCTTGGATAAATTTATTTTGCCCGAAATGCCAGAATCTCAGGTTAAACGAGAGCAGGATTCTGTACAAAGATGGAAACACAAAACACAAAGAATTCACTCTGATTTTTGCTGTTTTGCTTCCACCGTGATAAAACCACACTTCATGCACAGCTCTCTCTCTCTGTACTTCAAGAACAGTTTCCCGTCTAAAAATCTGTTTTCTGCATTATTCGCTTGCTTGTTACGCACAACTCTACCATTGTTTACAGGCTGTTGGCCGCTGTTTTTGTCCTTTTACTTACTTCTGAGAAGAAAGCCTCATTTCTGCTGTTCAATACTGAGCAAATTTAAACTTTTTAAAATGATGCAAATTGCAAAACTCTCAGCTGTGCCTGTAATCAAACCTCTGTAAACTTTGCTCTGCTTCACTTCAGCAGCATCAGGTCATGTTCATGTGTTGATTCATGGTTTTCTTTCGTTTTTGATCTACTGCAGAATATTTTTAAGGTCATCTGTTAAAATCCAGGCCAGGAAAGTCGCCTTCATGTTTTTCTGTGTTTTATTCTCAGTTACTTTGACACAAAGGCCTCTGCTGTGATGCTCACACCTTTGATAAAGTCCCGCAAGTATCAGCTTTCTTTTTATAGATATAAAAATATGGAAATGTACTGATGCATGACCTGAATTATAATATTTCTGACTGTCTGAGGCTAAATTTACCCGATTCAAATCTAATCGAATTGTGGATCGAATTGATTCGGGACCTCGTGAATCGAGATCGAATCGATTCTAGAGATCAGTGACGATACCCAGCCCTAATTTCCATGGTTACCTACTCGGAACCACTCGCCATGACTGGTTTTCTACACTACAATCTGGTAAGTACTTAATGTACGTGGTCATTGTTATAGCAATTAATGTGCAACACCAATAAAGGTGGACGTCGAGGCGCGATGGACCCGCTGCTTGGTCTGTGGCGTCAGACTCGGGAACACGGCATTGCTTTTGTAGCCATTTCTGTCGCTACTCAACTTCAAAAATGGCGCTTTTCATTTTTGTGAATGAGACGCCATCACGACTCATCGAGGGAAGCCACTGACTGGCCAATCAGGGGCACATTTTCATATTTGCTCGAATTTCCTGGAACGCCGGCCGAACATCACCTGGTACCAGGAACTACGAACTAATAGGAAACCTGAAAACCGCGGCAAGTCGATCCGAGTAGGTAGAAAAAGAGGCTGTAGTAACAGGTAAAGTTCAAGTAAAGGTCAGAAGACATGGGCTTGTGTTCTGCATCCTGATTGGATGATTGTAAAATATCTGTTATCACCTCTGACTCTAGAAGGCATCTGATTGGTGGACTGACCGTCTTTCCTGGTCTCTGAAGCTCCTCCTCTTCCTGTCTTCCTCCCGTTGAGACCATGTGACCTGTGTCTTTATCTCCAATGTCAGAACAGTCAGTCATCTTTGAAGCCCCGCCTCCAACAGAGTCTTTTGATCTTCCTCTCCTCCTTGTGTGTTTGTTAGCTGCCTTCTGATTGGTCTGATTGGCTGTTCCAGAACGCCGTGTTGTCTCCTCTGACTCCAGCAGGTACCTGATTGGTGGGCCAACCATCGTCCTCCTCGGCCTTTGAGGCTCCTCCTCCTTCTCCACACAGACTTGTTGCGCCTCCCTTTCTTCATCGTCCTCCTCCACTCTGCTCCTCTTTGACCCCCTCCTTCCATTCCCACTCCTGTTCAGGGTCCAGTAGTCGACCAACCAGCTGGGACGTGTTCTCGCACGGTTTATGTCTCTTGACCAATAAGGAGCCTCGGTGGGTGCTGTGAGGAGGAGCTTCCTGGGCCTCTGAGGCTCCTCCCCTTCCTGTCTTCCTCCCGTTGAGACCATGTGATCAGTTTCTTTATCTTCAGTATCAGAACAGTCAGTCATCTTTGAAGCCCCGCCCCCAGCCTCACTGAAGTCAAAAACATTTTTTGGTCTTCGCCTGCGCTGTGTGGGTTTGTTTTCTGCATCGTGATTGGCGGTTCTGACACCACCCGTTTCCTCTGACTCCAGCAGGTACCTCATTGGTCGGCCAACCATCGTCCTCTTTGTCCTGTGAGGCTCCTCCTTTCCTTCCTCTCTTCCTCCTGTTGTGACCATGTGACCTGTGTCTTTAGCATTAGTCTCAGGCCTGTCAATCACCTCTGAAGCCCCGCCCCCAACAGCATCTTTTGATGTTCCTCTCCTTCTTGTGGGTTTGGTAGCTGCCTCCTGATTGGTCTGATTGGCTGTTCCAGAACCATGTGACGCTTCCTCCGACTCCAGTAGGTACCTGATTGGTAGGCAGACTGTCCTCCTCTGCCTCTGAGGCTCCTCCCTCTCCTCTGCATCACCCTGCACGTGATTGGTTTGTTCTTGCTGTTGGTCAGCAGCAGCTTGTGCGCAGCTAGAAGCCGGTCTGTGGACGGAAAGGTGGAGATCCAGAGACGCCTGGCTGGTGACGTTCAGACCACACACCTGGAGACAGGTAAAGTCGAAGGTCAAAGGTCAGAGAAACAAAGGTGATGTGATGTTCAAGTGAAGGACTGACCTGGCAGAGCTTCCACCATCTCTCTGCTCCTCCGTCTGTTGAGGACTCCACCGTGCTGCTGTCATCCAGCTCCTTCTGCTCCTTCCTCGGCCTCCCCATCTTTCTCCTCCGCACATCTCTGCTCGCTCTGCTGTGATTGGCTGCTGTTGGCCCATGTGACTGCTGCTCAGACTCCAGCAGGTATCTGACTGTCGGGCCAACCATCCTCCTCGGTCTCCGACCCTCCTCAGTCTTTATTATGACAGATTTGACTCCTCCCCTTTCTTTCATGGTCTCCTCCTCCTCCTGCCCCTCGTTCTCCTTCCTCTCCTGGATCCTGGTTGTTTGTTCCTCTCCTCGCTTGCTGGTGTGGGACTCCTCATCCTTCTTCAGAAGCTTAATCTTTAGTCTCCTCCTCTTCCCGGCCGCATTTCCTGCAATGTGATTGGTCGATTTGTCAGCCAGTGATGACTTTTGTCTTTCACCACCATCAGGCCACCTCCCCCCCACCATCTTCTTCTTTTCTTTAAATGCCACATTCTCAGAGCAGAGTCGCTCCTCTGCAGGAGAAGAGTAAAGGAAGTTAATGTTCAAATACTGATTAATACAAAGAACCGATCACAAATCAATAACCCAGATACTGACTGATGCAGAGAGCCAATCTCCTGTGAGAGGAGGCTGAAGGATGAAAGGTTGGGAGGTCAAGAACACATGAGCAGATTAAAGGCTTCCTGCTCTGAGTGGACTCGATCTTCAAACATCTCATTTAACCTGACACTTACAAAACCTACCCTCAGGTACGTGCACCTCCTGCTCCTCTTCCTGCTCCTCCTCTTCGGCCAGCCCCGGGCTCAGGGGAGCGATGAGTCCAGGAGGAGCAGCCGAGATGTCCGCAGGAGTCGGGGGAGGCAGAACAGAGTGCTCGGAGAACAGAGGCACGCTGGGTAGCAGGGCGGGGCGGTCGGTGCCGCAGCGTGATGCCCGACTCCTGCAGAGCTGCAGCAGAGCGCCCCCTGCTGATTCATCCACCTGGAAGGCGCCACAGTGGCAGGAAACACCTGAGAGGGGAGAGGCGTACGTGTGAGCGCGCTCTGCTTCAAACAGTCAATGGGCGTGTCCAAATTCATGGGCTGCATCCCCCGAGGACGCATTTGTGGAACGATTACGTCACAGCGACGCACCGAAGGCTGTCCAAATAGACTCCTCCGAATGCAGCCGACAAATGCCACCTGCTTTTCCCCGAATTTGAAGGATGGGTCGGGTGTGTCCTTTGTGGCCCACCATATCCCAGAATTCATAGAGCGGCCCAGCCAAACTCCAGTTTTCAGCAATGGCGGCCTCTACTAAGTTTTAAAATTACTCTTACTACTCTCTCTGGGTCACAAAATAAACTTTTAACATATTTTCAGGCGAGAATGTAGCTGTGCAAACTTCTAATATCTGCTCGGTTTATCAAGATATCGCATATTTGCAAAAGTGCTTCGACGTTTTCAGAGACTTCTGCTACCCACCACAGGGCTCGCAAAATTTCAAAATCCCTGGTAGCCCTTCGGGCAGGGACTCTTCAGTTTTTGGTAGCCCAAAATAAAT